AAAGAAGGTATTGCATCTTTCAAATCTAAAATAAATAAATAAAATAATATTCTCAAACTATTAATATATTATTTAGATGAAAGGAAGTTTACAGCTAAATTACGTAAGAAATTAATTTTTTTCAGTTTGACATATGGGAATATCTGCAAGGTCTTTTGAGTAGTTAATCGAATATTTCATTTTAATTTGTGCCTTATCTGAAGTGCATGTACTTTGAAATTTACACGAAGTAAAAACGGTTACATGAGTAATAATATGAATTTTAGTTTATTTATGATGTCAATGTAAATAAATAAGAAACCTATCCTAAATAGAATGGAAGGCTATATTATTTAAAATCGAATTGAAAATATCTCTACTAATAGTCAAAACCATTTCTCAACGGGAAACACACTGAGATTATTGCCAGTATTTTGGGACAGATTTCAGACACATAAACAAATCAGAAACTAACCTTAAGATTCAAGAAGAGGGCAATAAACGTTTTCCATTTTTGTTATTCGTCTAAATTTCTAAATATTCTATATTGGTGATACACATGTACATTTTCACTCTTAAAATAAATCTGAAATAGTAATAAAAATGTATATTGGATCAGAAGTGATTCTTCCTGGAACCTCTATACCTGAATTTCTAGTAAATGTAGGACATCTTCACATCAAGTAAAGAAAATGTAAAACCACGCTTTTACGTGATTAAGTATCATAATCAAATACTATTCATGATTGAATAGACTCGGTCTTCATTCAAGCGATTCCGTTTCTTTAAGTGCTATTTAATGAATACATTCATAGGTTAGGTAGTTAAGAAAACAAAATGCGTTCTTCCTACTTCATAGATAACTACGAAGTATCACTTAACATTTACATCAGAAAATATTTCGTGCCTATTTGTACAAGGCTGTTGTAGCGAGGAAATTTTTTCTGTTCTGATATAACTTAAGTAATTTATCTTTCTTGTTTTATTTCAGTACTATTTTGTTTAGAAGCAAAAGTGCAGTAGAATCAAAATAAGGCTTTGAATAATTAACTGTCTGCAGGCGCTTATGTATATGTTTCCGCCTACAAAATAATTTATGCTTTTAAATATGTAAGTAATAAGACAATTGGGATAATTATAAGTGTTGCATAAGAAGTATTACCAGATGCCAAATATCACTGACAAAATACTTTGAAATAATTTAAAATATTCCTGCAATTGCAATAACAGTAACACAGGTAGGAAAAGTCACAAAGAATGAGTATCATGGGATGGTTCGCCACTACACTGAGAAGTATGGAGTAGACATCGGCTCATTATGTTACAATGCACAACCCAAACCATAACATTAGAACGATTTTTAGTGGCGTGAAGAGTGTATCTAACGGAGTAATATGATCGTACAGAAGTTAATTTTTAACTAAATAAAAACAAATAATTACTGAGAAATGCACGAACATTTTGAGCAGAAAAACTGTTGGCGTTAAAGCGAATATACTCTGCCGTTATATTACCATTGAACACTCATAAGAAATTTCAAATATTAAAACTGATTGAAATCTATTTGTTGCGCACTGGTACAAAAGATGAGCTTAAAAAGTGCAATGAAACATCTAGAAGGGAATTGGCTAAACTGGTAGGGATATCTAAAGTTAGACACCTATGTTTCTTACCAACCAAACCCTTCTTTAATTAACTATGGCACCTGACCAGAGTTGTATTTCATCTGCTGTCGGGTATAGGGTCAATTCATGCATGTGAACTAATTTTTTAACACATGAAATCTACTTGGATTCCTTAGGGAAAGGCCTAAGCTCAATGCTGAAATTAACAAATTATACAGCTAACAGTGAATAATTAATTACGAATAAGCAAGGAAAGTGAACTCATTAATTTTTAATAAGCTCTACGTATTTGTTAGATCAACACATATTCTTTGAACAAAAAAGGTAGGCGCAAAGCTTCTGGCCAGGAGAAAAGCTTAAGCGAAGAGGACGCATCAGTTCATAGAAAGAAGGGAGGAAGTCAGGTTTACTTATGGTTTACAATTCGGTGATTGGTCAAGAGTCATCTGCATTAAGGGTTAGTAAGATCGCATGATTAATTTGAATGACGCAGTTTAGACTGAAGCGCTATTTTTAGGACAGACAGATGAAGTTCCCAAAGGAATTAAAAAATATAAGAGGTTATAGCGAATTAAATTTAGAAGTTTCCTTTCATATTTTTATCTTACACATATATATGTGTGTCTATATATGTGTGTCTATCTTACACATATATATGTCTGTCTTCATGTCATTCTAGTGTTGAAATTTATATGTGTGTCTGTGTATGTGTGTGTAAGATATAATAAAAGACGATCGCTACTCTAAGGAATAATTGGAAACCTCAAAATTGACTATTCTAAATTTGATATTCTCCGACTAAGTTTATCTTTTCTCCCAAATTTGAGATCTCTCCAAATTACACACCGCTGCTTGCAAAGAGAGCTAAAACCTAAAATTAAGCAATCGCAGCTTAGCTGTATATATGCACCTGCGTAGTACAAATACTGCTCCGTGAGCAATCACGTCATTCCTTTTCTTAACTTCTGCCCCGCAAACATCTCTGCGCTGCTATGCTTAATTGTTCCCACTTTACTCTTCACCTAAATCCCGTGTACGTAAAAATTATTGTATTCAACTATGATTAAAAAATATCTTTTCTACAAAAGAATGATTTGATACCAAAAAGAATAAACATTGCGAGTATTCGAATTCAGTTTTGTTAGCTTCGTCTTCGTGCCTTCCCCCTCAGCCATTACGACAGCCGGAAGTTAAACTACGCAATTTTCAAGCAGCGCATTAAAATATCATATATATATATTATTAGAAAAGTATATATGTATATGTATTACCTATATCTTTAAATGCTGTGGATGAATAATATTTTTTAATTTTTGACAGATTTATTGGGAATTTTAAATTTTACTGGTTTTTAATTTTATTTTTCGTGTCTTTGTGGATTAGATAGCAAATTTCATATTTCTTATCTATCTATCTGTATATATATATATATATATATATATATATATGCAAGTAAAACTTTATTTCTTCACTTGCACGCAAATTATTTGTAGGTTTCTTTGCCCTTATGAGAGTGATGCAAGTAAAAGTAATTCTTTCGGCACTTCAGGTGTTTATAGATTAGAAGCTCTCGTATCATCAGTTTCAGCCCTCAATGAATCGAATTCTTCCGAAACCTTCAAATAGGTCGAGTCCTTCCGAAAGTATATTTTTCAGTGTGACATGAAAAAAATTCAGACGAAACATTTCTAATTCATTCTTTTACTCTCTTTACTTTTTTTTCCCTTTTTTTTTTTTTTTTTTTTTTTTTTTTTTTTTTTCAGTTTTCCTGTCCTTTTCACTGCATTTTAAAATTTTCAACACATAAATATTTTTACAGACCTGAAACGTTTAGAAAGAAGCCACAACATAAAGAAGCTTATTTTGAAGTCTAGTTTATGTCAATTTTCACCTTTTGTTAGAAAGTAGTTTTCTTGAACGTAAATTATTGTATATTCTTGTATGGTCTAGTAATAACAGCGTTCAATGACACTAGGTGCATTTCATCCCCCAAAAGACTCAACTTGTCATTCTTGCATAGTTGGTTTCAATGGTTTAACAATTTATTTTTTTTATACTCTTTCAAGAAGCTCAACTGTTTCTTCTTTGCAGAAATACAAAATAACAACACATCTAATAATTAAAGTTTACGAACATTTCTCTTGGTATAAGCTTACTTAACTTTAAACTACATTTGTTGATGCAAGTTTGCCAGTACCATTGGTAATTAAAGAGCAGACAAATTAAAATTTTCAGCTGTAGTGGTAATCATTTATTCTTTCTTCAGCACGAGCCTGCTGAGGCTTGACATTTAAATCGAAGAATATAATAAACTCTTTACAGATGAAACGGTTTCTATGAATTACGTGAAGAATTTTTGAGTATGTTGCATTTTAAATAAGTGCCACCCTCAAAAATAATTTTTTTTATCATTCTTATAACACTTCTTTGTTGTATTTAAACTTTAGTAGTCTTGTGTAGCCAAACTTTGGCCTCGCTGCATTCTGATAACAGAAGGGTCTTTTAAGAATTCTTCATTTATTTTTACACATGTCTATTTTCTTTATGATATATTATGCCTTCTTGGCACTGTTATAAAGTATTTCTCCCGTCTTCTTGGCATGCCTTCGTGATGTGGTGGTCTGCACGCTGGGCGCGTATTCCAGAGGTTCGCGGTTCGATTCCCGGCGAAGGCGTTGCTAATTTTTCATCTTGCCTGCTTCCAAAAAAACCTAATGTCTCTACAATGTAACCTTTTGTATCATCTATGTTTCATATTGTTCATTTTGAAACAGGAAACTCAGTTCTTCATACGGTTTTAATTGACAGAAAAATGTTACTTTCTTGATCCATTGAAAATACAGTAATGGTGTAGCTAGTTCTACACCCTTCAGCTTCTTTTTCTAAATTTCTTCTAAGAATATCTTATTACTTAGTTCATGAAAAAGTAGCATTAGCCTTCTCAAATTCAAATATTGCTCCTTTTTTTATTTATTCTTCTATACATACTTTCTTCTTTCTTTCATCCATTGTCCTAAAATAAAATATAATAAATTTACCAGAAAGCCTAAATCTAGGCTACCTTAATAGTGGGCCGTATGAATTTTGTCTTTTGAGTGTCATGAAGTGGAATGAATTGTATAGGAAACATTGCTAAAACATGAATTAAACACAAGATCTTATAATTCAAAAAATGATATAAGTTCTACCCAGAACTGGGCATTCCCTCAAATGAGTTAAATATGTGCTTTATACTTTTTAAATATAATTTGAAAAATACTAAGGGTACATTTAAATAGAAATATGACACATTAATAAAAAATGACATACAGTTGTAGAAGTGTGTTTTCATTTCCTTTTGCGTCTGCTCAGTGCTGAAGCGGTGAAATTTTCAACGATGTATATAATCTATTGTAGAAACCAAGAAGTGTGTGAAGACAGTGTAGTGTCCCTATGGCCACGTGTTGTGTCGTCCTAGTTAACAACATGACCAATAGCCGTGATTCTCTCCAGCGAGGTGCGGCAATATGATGCACGAACTCCTAACATGGAATGTAGACTAGAACAGGAGCAGAAATCTAGCAAAGTATGCAGGGCAGCATTTACTACGAAGCCAACAACAGGTTATTAAGCCCAGTTGCTCAGGGGCTGAGGAGTGCACTGAAGATATATGTCAAGTATCTGTGCTTTTTGGTGTAAAACAAGGTAAACGAAATTACTCTGTTTTTCCTTTGTTTTACTAAAATTGTATATAATTAATAAAAATCATGAACCGAATATTCAAATTGAGAAATTGTATAACACTAACTTTGAAATATGACATTTCTAAGCAAAAAAGAGTTTTAATATAGTCAGATCTCTGGATTGACGCGTGTGGGCGAGTTAATCAACCCGGAAACTACCGAAGCTAACCAAGCCGAACTTGAGAAATGGCTCTCAAAAAAGAAAAAGCTTTAGCAGTTACTGCTCTGAGCGTGAAATTATCTGAGGTAGTGCGCATTAAAAAATATCATGCTTCGTCATGAATGCATGGATGAAACTGCACGGAATTCATCAGCCTAAAGATGTTATTACTAAAGTAGGCCTTATAAAGCGTTTTATATCTAAAAAAATGAATGCGAACTAAAAAATACAGATGCCTCTGTTTTATCAGTTATTATTTATTTATGTTTTATTGCATCAACTAAAATCAACTACGCAACAACTGGTAAATGTTTGGCTCTAATCTCGACTAATGCATGCATGATATTATGTTTCAGGCCCAAAAACCTAATTGCCCCTAAATGAACTAGCGAATTTCTGTTTTCATCAAATGAATATGCCTGAGATACGTTAGAACCCGTAATGTAAAAGTTGTTGTCTGACACATTTCCCATGTATCACTAATGTGTGTGTGTGTGATTATGGCAAAGCCTCGAGGGCTATCCGCCTAAGGGGAGGGATGCCTTCATGGAGGACTTTCTAAGGGAAACTGGCTCGTATACACGTTACACATGGGGAAAACCACGAAAACAGCCATGCAGCCAGCCCGTTCGCGGGATTCGAAACTCGGACCGAACTACCAGTGTTCAGCGACTTTACCGCTCTGCCGCTGCCATGTATCACTAAACAGGAACATTCTGTTAATTAGCTATTTGAATTTTTTTTACTCAAGATTTTTAATTTGACTACATATTTTGGATCCAGATTTTATTAATCAACTTTTAAAACTTATCATCCTTTTTTACATTTCCCCATAGAAAATAATTGATATTTAAGTGTGCTAAAATTTCTATATTGACATTTTAAAAAATATTTTCATGTATGAGCTCCTTTCTGTAAATTCATCTCAAGCGTGAGAGTTGGTAAGTTGGTAACTTCATTGTTAAAGAATTAAAAAATACACATTGAAAAAAATGCGATGTTTATTCAATGAAAGTTAAAGACCAGGTCATGATATTTAGTCTTTTAAATGTTGGAATTTTAATTAAGCTTTTTGAAGTTGTTTTATGCCAACTGTCTAACCTCTTTCTTTCCATCTTTTAAAACTTTTCCCTATCAATTCGTAATATGTTTAAAAAATGAAAATTTTTAAAGATTGTCTCCTCTTCTTTTTTCTAAAAAATCTTCGCTTTCAGTTCAATATTCAAGACTTTTTTTCCTAAATTTCGAAGTATTTTACAGATGTTGTTCTTGAAATAGTTAAAAAATATATTGAACATTTCTGTCAGTACAGAAAGCATTTTGTAAGAATATGCTTTATGATTAAAATTATATCTCTCATTAAATTAGATACCAAAATTTCATTTTGTCGCTTAGAAGTCCATTTATTCCAGATTAAAAGTATTTTCAAACAACATTTGTCCAGTACTGCTATTTCTTTTCCAAAAGTATTCTTCTACAGCAGTCTAAAAACATTATATCAACTCTTTGTATTTCACCGACCAGTAGATTGAAAAATGAATTCCAATAAATTGTATCCCTGCGATATTGTACGCCTTTGTCGTATAATAAATCGGTTCTGCTTTCTTAAAGGACGCAGCGCTAAGCGAAACTATTGTGGTTAGTATTTGAAAGAGGATGTTATAACAAGAACTTTTGTTCGTTAAATGGAATATATAAAAAAAAAAATCACAGAAATCGAGGAGACATCATGAATGAAAGTGTGCACTATTATATTCAGGAACAGTATGAATTAGACATGTCGTTTTCATTCTTTGAAACGAAATGCCGTCCAGGTGTTATAAAAAATAAATGTATTCACTATTTTGCTAATTTTATAACGAATAAATCATTAGAAATTTTGAAACTTCGAGGAAATCGGTTTGATAATTATTATAACATTATAAAAGTATTAATGAACATTTATAAATTAGACTATAAAAAAGTTCCTTGCCATAAAGACAGTCATCTTAACTTATTTTTATAAACAGTAAAAAATAAGTGGACTTCCGAATTCGCTCTTATATTACAAACCGATTCTAAAGTGTTGTTAAAATTAAGTACAAATATTTTTGTAAAAGCATTTTGAAAATTTTAAATATTAAATCCTCATGTTTTAACTTTCTACACTAAAATTAAAATTCTAAACTTTTAAGTTATCAGTCTATTTCTTCCCCTGTAATTCAGTTTTATATCATCAGCTAAATTTTGTTCATTACCTTTCCTAATTTATTTCGGTATGTATACATCTTCCGATTAGAAATATCGCGGAGAGTTTTAATTAAGCTGTTGATGTCAGGCTATATTCAAGAGTGCGAAGGTTAAATGATAGGATCAGGCAATAAATTGGCCTGTAGCACTAAAAGTGTCAAAGAAGGTCGTTTGCACTCAGTACTGATACGTTTTTTTATTGAGAAGTCTAACACGATAGCTGGGCGAACATTGTAATCAACTACCCTACTAAACACTTTTTTATTCACCAGGGAGAAGGTTATTTAAGCTCTCAGAAACTGGCACATGTTACAAAGAAAGATATGCCAATAAAACATTTTAAGTCTTCTAGACTATTTTTTTTTTTTACATTTTCATTTCAAAGCTGGATTAAATCAAATGACAATTGTTTTTCTAGCAAATTTAACTTCAACATTATCAACATAGAATTAAAAAATTAAATGAAATGTTTCTTATTGGTAAATCTTAAGTCACAGTAGTTGTGCGTTTTTCTTGCCTAATATTAATTGTGTAAAACATAAAGGTTATGATCATGATTCACGCTTCTATTTTATTCACGAGTTGGGAGAGCATCAATTTAATCAAGAATATACTAGTATTTCAAGAGTCAATATACCATTTTCACGTAAAGTTGGTGTATTTAATTATGGCAAAGCACACTAGGGCTATCTGCCTAAGGGGAGGGATGCCTTCGTGGAGGACTTTCTAAGGGAAACTGGCCCGTATACACGTTCCACATGGGGAAAACCACGAAAACACCCATGCAGCCAGCCCGTTCGCGGGATTCGAACCTCGGACCGAACTACCAGTGTTCAGCGACTTTACCGCTCGGCCGCTGGTGGGCTTTTCACGTAAAGACTCAACTTGAAAATAAGAACTTCCAGTTGAAACACAGAACTATTTAATGAAGAGCTTATGTACATTATTTACATTATTCAAAACACAAAATTTACAAATAATATAAATTTCCCTTCATAGGGCCAAGATTAGTTTATCAAGAACAATTATTATAATTGTTGATTACCGCTATGCGGCCAAGAAACAGATCATTTCAAGCGTCGCACTCAAGCTAAACTAAAAGAGTTATTACATTCTTTCTCTGCCGCCAGTCACGTGACCTAGTCGGCGAAAGACGATAAATAATAAAAGAAAAATTGGTTCCATCGGAGGGAAAAAAAAAAAAACAATTTCAACATTAATCGCTGCGATACAAAAAATATTGAACGTTAAGATTATCCATATAAACAGAACAGCCAAAGTATACTATAAATTAAATACAAACTACATTAAAGAGAGAAAAGCAGTGAAAGCATGATAATAAATGAAGCTCGACTTGAAGACTCTAATGAAATAAATAACGGAAATATATTGTTAAAATTAAGTTATAAACCAATGTAATATTCGAAATTTGGTATTTTAAACATATAAGTTACCTTAACTGCAGTGGTTAGAAGTAACAATGCTGTGATAAATTTGGGCTAATGAAATCGTGATCTTCAATCAATTCTATGCTTTTGTGGGCTAATTTTGTATTCCATTGTTTCGTTTCGTTATTATCCGTATTGCAAAACTTTATTCATATTAATAGAACTTCGTTCTCAGAGGAGTTAGCATCATAAATTCGTTAAAGATTCATTTTAATACTTATACCGTTCCAATAATTCTTTATTCTGAGTTACGTTTTCTAAGTATATCAGGACTTGTATTTCTCCTTATCTGTTTGGCGAACATGACGTGAGTTTGACTACAAACTATGTCCTATGGAGTGTAGAAGAGATGACAAGATGAGAAGGATTTAATTACCCTTTATTTTCAACGATATTACAAGCGCTCCCGCACTTCGGGATACAAAGACCAACTACTTGTGGTCTGAACGCAAACTATAAAAACTACTAACTAACTAAATTTAAAATTAGAGTTAACTTCGAATATTTTACACAAATGACTAACACTAAGACTGGCCTTTTTAAATTATTACGTATGTAGTATGCAAACTGCAGAAAACTACAATACGTCTTTAGCTTTCAAGAGGACTAAAACTTCTGACCTTAAAGGCGGACAGCAATTGATTTCAAACTCGCGTGAAGTATATAGTGGCAAGAAGGCTCACTCTCTCCCCATCTAACTCTGCTCTTGACAAAACGCCACAACTTGAATACTTAAGCGTTAGCAAGTACAATTTGCGTAATCATATTCACGCGTTTATTCTAGCCGGAAGTGGAAAATAAGAGAGGACAGTACAGTTTTAAAATAATATAAACGTTAGTAAAACTTAAGATCCTTACAAGTATTGCTAACATTTTAAAAAATTTGTTCTGTGTTCTTTCAGCTCCATGTAGTAACTGTAGCATAGCCATCTTTGCTCTTCATTTTTTAATTCTAGGTCTGAGTTCAGGATAAGTTCCAGATATTTGTAATAATACTGAATAAAGTTTAATCCTCTACATTTCGCAAATGCACAAAACTAGAGATCTAGAGATCTTATAAATGTATTTATGATTTATGGAGATACATATTTGGCCCTAGAAGGGCTAAATTAACTATAGGCACTTTGAGAACGTATTATGTTGTGATCTCATAAAATAATAACTGAATGAGGACGATGTATTGATACTTTGATCCATATTTATTATTCTAGAATACCGCTGGAGGTGCATTCTAGAGCAACTCAGTTGAATCTTCTAAGGACTAAGGAATTAGAATTTTATAAAATGGCATCACCTACAACAATACGTTTAGGATGAGCAATGAAAATAACGACAGCAGGCTGAAGAAATTACAAGGAGTACTACGTACAATCAAAAAAGATGACCAGACAATAGCATAAAGAGTTTACATGATGGTAACGTCTTTGAACGAATGCATAATACATGATTTGAAATGCTAATTGTTTGGTAGAACCTAATATTTAGATTCTTCCACCAGTTGATAGTATCACGAATTCTTGTCTTCCTCAAGAACACATAAAAATAATTTTTCAGAAGCTGTAGCTTAAAGTTCCTGAGCGCTTCTTAGTGAACCTAAACCGAACTTCTCCAAGAAGCACTGAGGGACTTAAGTTGAACTTCCCCACCTGCATCGCAGAGGCTTTTCAAGCGATCCTACTTGCCCGCTTTGTGATTCTGGAGAAGAAAGGGACAGGGACCACTTGCTTCGATGTGGGACGACTTCGATTTTGTTTTGTTTTTAGCCCTATTGCTCTGTTTATAAGATTTTAGTTCAATTGTAATTTTTTGGCTTGCCATTAGAAATAAAAAGAAAAATTCAACTTCTAGAATGGTGGAAATTTCTCTTTGACTTATGAGCTTGATTTTATCATTTCTTAAACTCCTGGGCCAACTAACAAAGAAGGATAAACTTTTGATTTAAAACTGCATCACTGTTAACAGTTGCACAATAGTTAGAAAGTCGGATGATTTTTGGATAAGCATTAGAATTTCTGAAAAACATACTTTTGTAATATTACATTTTAGACTTTCCGATTATATGAAAAGCAAACTTTTGGAATGACTAGTTTAACCATTAAACAAAGATTTGGGAGAACAATAGTTATTATTATTGTTCTCAATAATTATTATTATTCCCAATTAATACAATATACATTTATATATACTTATATATGCTGCCAAGTCCTTTTTTAAAATCACGAACAAAAAATTTTGTAAAAAGTCCAGCACAAAATGTATATTTCATTTCTTTCACAGAATTCATATTTATTACCTTTGAAATTTTTAAAAAAGGTCATTTTAATAATTTATGCCATTTTATTTACTAAAGAAAGTTGGAAAAAGGACTTCCATCCGCCTCAAGTTATGAAATAGCAAGTAGCATTATACGCAAGTTCTGAAAATCAAATTAAAATTCATTATTTTCAGCTTTTGCATTAATCGAAAATAAATGCTACATAATACTGATTATAAAATGCTACACAATACTGATTATAAAATGCTACACAATACTGATTATAAAATGCTAAATGATGCTAATTATAAAACAAACTGAAATTTAATTCAAAGATATCTCTTCCTTTAGTGCCATTAGTTAAATTCCACTATTTGCTTTTGCAGCATACTGTAAGGCCTTGAACAAGCTTCTGCTGAAATGCTTCTTAAGTTCAATAAATTCCGTGCAGAAAATCTGAATTTCGACAACAAACATTTTATTTACTTCAGCAATATTCTTGCAAATTAAGTACAGTTGCTGTAAGAACAGTATATTTTAATATCAGCAAATACTTTTCCATTTGTCGGTACTTTCACCTGTAATATAGTAGAATTTTGAGAAACTGGACGAAAAATTCGCCCTGCTCCTCAAGTGAGCTCTGCACGTTGATCAACATACGGGTATCCTTCATGCACGACTAAGACATTTGCTTCACAAATAGCTTAGATTTGATTCAACGCCTTTAACTGGATGTCCCAAAGTTCTCCCTCAACCTAAACTGCTGGTATAAAGAGTATGGTTTCATTTAATGTGTCAATATTTAAACACTAATTCAAGAAGTCAAACGACAAGAATCAGCGTTATATTTGTAAATTTTGCAAGACTACTATTGATGATTTAACTACAGAACCAGCTTCCTCAGCTGTCAAAGTACAAATGAACAAGATAAGATATGATTAAGAATTGCTGGACAGAAGTTAAACTGCTGGCGCCATCTATTGATGAAACAAGAAAAATTAAAACATAATGTCCTTAAAAGCGAAAGCTAAAGATGGATTGGGTTTAGAGTCGTTAACTACAACAGAAAGATTTTTTTAACGTGAAACGCCTCTAGAAAATCCAGTTCTCCAATGGAAGATGTTTTTTTAATAGTTTTGGCTGCCAAAAAATGAAAAGTGTGAATTTCGGACCAGCAGTGTTGGGCAACCGGGGATTTCTGCGTTTCATTTTTCCTAACATATGCCTCATGTTCTTTGACGCGAAATTTTAAGGCTCTCTTAGTTTGGCCAATGTAAATTAAACCACAACTGGCAAGGAATCCTATAAATACCCAGGAATTCATATCCGGAATGGGGTCCTTGAGTATAGAAGTTGGAATTTTATTGATGGGAGAATAAACAACCCGAAAGTTAAATTTCTGCAAAATATGTGCAACTTTATAGCTAATTGATGGAAAGAAGGGAATGACAACAGAATTTTTATAATCTCCTAAAATAAGAGTGTGGCCTTTTAGTGTGTTCAGATGAGAATTTTTTAACTGCTTGATTAATAATGTTGGGTGAAAAGCCCCTGTCAATAGCTATTGCTTTTAAATAATTTAGTTCTTCATCAAGGGCTAATTTGGAGGAGCAAACTTGAAGAGCACGAAAAACATAGGAATAAAATGAAGCTAACTTTTGTTTAGTCGGATGACATGATTTAAAGTGTGGTGGAAGGCAAACCGATGAAGGTTTACGGTAAACTGTAGTACTGAAGTTGGATGTGTTACGTGTGACCAGAATGTCGAGAAACAGAAGAGAATTGCAAGTCTCAAGTTCAAAAGTGAACTGAATAGCAGGTTCAATGGAATTCCTCTTTGAAAGAACTTTATTTAATTCATCTTTATTACCGTCAAATAGGGCGAATAGCAGGATCAATGGAATTCACTTTTGAAAGAACTTCATTTAATTCAACTTTATTACCGTCAAATAAGGTAAATGTATCGTCTATATAGGGGAACCACACCGAGAAGTTTAAAATTTCAAATAATTTTGATTCATAATAATGCATGTAGATATCAACAAGGATGGGACTAAGAGGGCTTACCGTGGCTAATCCTTTGGTTTGCTTGTAATACTTATTTGGAAAACAAAATGTGTTTGTTTCCAATAAAGTTTAGTAAGGAACTTAGCTCCTCAATTTCGATGCAGAAGAAATGAAATTCACGAAGTCTGGTTTCTTGATATTTTAATGCACATTCCCCTCGTTCATTTGTACTTAGGCAGCTGAGGAAGCTGGTTCTGTAGTAAACCATCGAAACCAGTCCTGCAAAATCACAAACATTTATTTTCCTTTCATTTAGTTTAAGTGATTAATCATGACAATTAAACATTTAAAAGGAAAAAATCCCTCTCCCTTCTATTAGTTAAATAACCACTAAAAATAAAACGAGAGGGGTAAAAATACACTCACGGAAGCCGCATACACAATAGTCTGTGGGACTCGAGGAGTGTCGGTGCATTTCTTTAATACGTCGAAATCAATATTCGGTCGAAATCTTCCCGACATTCATCATCTAAAGTCTGCTCAAAGCACTAACGGTGGAATACTCCTTCCCTTTTATTTTGAAGTTCGCCGATAAAGCTAACGGCAGGCTAGAAGACAACTAGAGATGACGACACACCCGCTTCAATATTCTCATCAGTAATCTGGTTCTTCAGCGAGAGCCCTCTGACTAATTTTTCAACAAGGAAAAAACATTAGGTACGAAATAAAAACCAAAGTATTTGAGAATTGTTGGTCAGGGTAAACGCGGGACCTAGCTCCATTACCATCAACACCGACACCGAAAACGTCATGAAGAGAGCACGCAACGCACTCGGATCGGTCTCGAAGCTCTAAAGCCATCAAGAAGCGATAGTAACTTTTACCACAATCGGCCCTTAGCTACGCACGTGAAAAAAACTTCCAAAAGTCTGGAAAATCTGCTAATACCTTTCTGCTTTTTGTTCAACTACTTTGAAAACCTCTGTAACGCTCAGAACGTGGTCTGCCTCTATAATCACCATTCGCTCAAAATATCAATAAAATCAAAATTAACCAATCCTAAACAAAACTTGAACGCTTTCTAACCAGTTAGAACAAAGACAATAAATAATGAAAAAAATTCGAAAAAAATCAGTCCCCTCTTTTAAATGACATACCCTTTCTTTTCGCACAACATCATAGAAATATTTTCAACAAATAATTCTGTCAAGTAAGCCGCCCGTTAAAGCTATTCGCCTCCAAACGATCAAACCATATGTTCAACCCCGAAAGATAAGAGGACCAAAAAGGGAGCTGGCTGCCGACTTTTGACCACAAAGTGGTCAGTCCGTGAGAATGGAAAAATACGCCTTTTTCGCTGCATCAAACTTTCCGCTAAATAAGAGTGTAATATTATGCCTTTTCAGACACAATATTAACTGCTTAAACCGGGAAAAAATTATCTTCAACCTCCAGTGGTGCCGGAAAAAAATCCCGGTCACGGCACCAGTGTAATATTACGTTTATGCCACAATAAGACTTGAAGTTAATTCCTAACCAACCCTAGTATTCCAAATTTAGCAAAATCATAAAGGAACATATTCGCTCCTTTAAGATTTACTCTTATACAATTTTTCTCACAAATATTCAGTTATATGATCTTAATTACGTAGGAGATGGATTGCGTTGTGCTATGATATTTCCAGAACTGTGCAAATGAATGATATGTATAACTTAAGCCAATAGCACATAATTCATTTTTAACCATTAACTATCAATTTATTTTCGTCATAGGACTCAAAGTGAATTACACTGTAATCGTTTTTCTTTACACGTCTGAAATATCAATAAATATCACCAATCATTATTTAAGAAGTTCATTTTTTCCTTTCTAATAATTTCCGAATTACAATTTTGCCTACAACCCTAAATTCAAGAGAAACAAAGAACAAGAATTTACAAATAAGGAACACAATTATTATTATCATAATAAAGGCATTGGTACCCCATAAATTATCTATAGCTACTACCTTGTGGTTAGCAGTAAGCCTTATTAAGACCTTTTCCTTTAGATACAATTTATAATTCTGAGTAAATATGATCTAATACAAATAAAGGTATTCAGCCAAGGCACACTTTTAAGTATTAAATACATTGAAAAGAAACAAAGAAACAGGAAACTTTTGGTAACGAGCAACTTCTGTTGATAATACTTCGATTTCTATTTTAGTCGATCATTTTCTAAACATTTCTCAGATCTTTTTACTCAATCGTGATGAGCCAAGAAAAACACCTTTAAATTCTAAACATGACCCAACTGAGCTGTCCAAGGCCGGAACGTGAGAACAAGAAGATACTCATTCTAGATAAAAAAATGGAGAACATGATGGTGAATGTGGCCCACATCAAATAAACGTATTTTTTCTTAAAGGAGATCTAGAAGTCCATTAGAAGGGTTATCGATGATGGTCTCACTTTTCTTTTACAGATGGGTTGAGATTGTCTTGTTAACTCTTCTCGGCGCGAAATTAGGCTTCCTCGAGCTCATGGCTGGTGA